CACTCACCCACTCACTCACTCACTCAGTCTCTCACTCACTCACTCACTCAGTCTCTCTCTGTCTCTCTCACAGTCTCTCTCTCTCTCTCTCTCTCTCTCTCTCTCTCTCTCTCTCTCTCTCTCTCTCTCTCTCTCTCTCTCTCTCTCTCTCTCTCTCTCTCTCTCTCTCTCTCAGTCTCTCTCTCTCTCTCTCTCTCTCTCTCTCTCTCTCTCTCTCTCTCTCTCTCTCTCTCTCTCTCTCTCTCTCTCTCAGTCTCTCTCTCTCTCTCTCTCTCTCTCTCTCTCTCTCTCTCTCTCTCTCTCTCTCTCTCTCTCTCTCTCTCTCTCTCTCTCTCTCTCTCTCTCTCTCTCTCTCTCTCTCTCACAGTCTCTCTCTCTCTCTCTCTCTCTCTCTCTCTCTCTCTCTCTCTCTCTCTCTCTCTCTCTCTCTCTCTCTCTCTCTCTCTCTCTCTCTCTCTCACAGTTCTCTCTCTCTCTCACTCAGGGTCTCTCTCTCTCTCACAGGTCTCTCTCTCTCTCTCTCTCTCTCTCTCTCTCTCTCTCTCTCTCTCTCTCTCTCTCTGTGTCTCTCTCTCTCTCTCTCTCTCTCTCTCTCTCTTCCTCTCTCTCTCTCTCTCTCTCTCTCTCTCTCTCTCTCTCTCTCTCTCTCTCTCTCTCTCTCTCTCTCTCTCTCTCTCTCTCTCTCTCTCTCTCTCTCTCTCTCTCTCTCTCTCTCCTCTCTCTCTCTCCCCCCTCTCTCTCTCCCCCCTCTCTCTCTCCCCCCTCTCTCTCTCCCCCCTCTCTCTCTCCCCCCTCCCTCCCTCCCCCCCTCCCCCACCAGGCGAGCCTTAACACTAGAACACACTGTGTGTTGGTCTATTACATTAAGAAATGTTACAGGAAGACAGGTGCCTGTCTCTTAAGTGTTGACTCCTAAGACACCTTAGCGGTGTTGCTGCTGCTCGTGTGCCAGGTTATCACTGCTATTTTGGCTCGAGGGCAGTAATAGCCTGGTTGATCGATCGTCTGGGAAGAAAGGTCGGGTTGCGGGAGTAGAGAATAGAGGGGGGGGGGGGAGGAGGATTAGTGTTGAGGGGAGTTGAATGTCATCAGTTTCCTTCGTTTGAAATACAATATTCTTGAAAGAAGTATTTGATTATTTTCGTGTGTGACGCATTTTAGTCCCATCACTGATGAGAACACCTGGCTTGGGTGGTGCAGGTGTGGGGCCAGGTGGAGGCAGCTGGCCTGGGGTGAGGGTGGTGCAGGTGTGGGAGCCAGCTGTGCCACCTGGCCTGGGGTGAGGGTGGTGCAGGTGTGGGAGCCAGCTGCCTCCACCTGGCCTGGGGTGAGGCTGGTGCAGGTGTGGGAGCCAGCTGCCTCCACCTGGCCTGGGGTGAGGGTGGAGCAGGTGTGGGAGCCAGCTGCCTCCACCTGGCCTGGGGTGAGGGTGGTGCAGGTGTGGGAGCCAGCTGTGCCACCTGGCCTGGGGTGAGGGTGGTGCAGGTGTGGGAGCCAGCTGCCTCCACCTGGCCTGGGGTGAGGGGGGTGCAGGTGTGGGAGCCAGCTGCCTCCACCTGGCCTGGGGTGAGGCTGATGCAGGTGTGGGAGCCAGCTGTGCCACCTGGCCTGGGGTGAGGGTGGTGCAGGTGTGGGAGCCAGCTGCCTCCACTGGCCTGGGGTGAGGGTGGAGCAGGTGTGGGAGCCAGCTGCCTCCACCTGGCCTGGGGTGAGGCTGGTGCAGGTGTGGGAGCCAGCTGTGCCACCTGGCCTGGGGTGAGGGTGGTGCAGGTGTGGGAGCCAGCTGCCTCCACCTGGCCTGGGGTGAGGGTGGAGCAGGTGTGGGAGCCAGCTGCCTCCACCTGGCCTGGGGTGAGGTGGTGCAGGTGTGGGAGCCAGCTGTGCCACCTGGCCTGGGGTGAGGGTGGTGCAGGTGTGGGAGCCAGCTGCTCCACCTGGCCTGGGGTGAGGGTGGAGCAGGTGTGGGAGCCAGCTGCCTCCACCTGGCTGCGGTGAGGCTGGTGCAGGTGTGGGAGCCAGCTGCCTCCACCTGGCCTGGGGTGAGGGCGGTGCAGGTGTGGGAGCCAGCTGCCTCCACCTGGCCTGGGGTGAGGGTGGTGCAGGTGTGGGAGCGAGCTGCCTCCACCTGGCCTGGGGTGAGGGCGGTGCAGGTGTGGGAGGGCTGACGGGCTGGTGGCCCAGCCCGTCCTCCAAAAATGGAGAGGTAAATGTAACAGCACAAGTAAGTGCAATTATATACTATTCCTAGCAGTCAGGAATTGTACTTATTTTCACTTAGTATTAAACCGTACTGTCAAATATATTGTGAATATTTGAGTTTAGCTGAAAAGCTGAATAGAAAACCGCGACCTAACCTAACCTTCTTAGTGTTTGAAGATAAGTATTTTATTGCTTCTTAATTACAATTAGTACTTAACCTATAGCTATATTGATATTACAGTTTTATAAAACTATTAAAACAAAACAATTATTTCAATAAATTGTAAAGTAAATCAGGATATTTTAAAATTTTGTATAGAATCTCTATTGTTTAATAAAACTGAAAAAGAAATTCCTGATATTTAAAACTTGTGTATAACGAACTGAACTTGAAAACTTCAGCCTAAAATTCTGAGTGTCTTAACAGAAAACGAGGAGAATAAATGGAGAGGTACATGTAACAGTCCCTTAGCACCTTAAGTACCTTAGGTACTTAATAAGGTACTTAGGTACCTTAAGTACCTAAGTGATACTTAAGTACTATGGTACATACATAGTACCTAAGTGCAATTAGGTACTATGTATGACAGTAAGGAAATGTACTAATTACAGTTAGTATTAAACCATACTAGGGAGCCGGTCGGCCGAGCGGACAGCACACTGGACTTGTGATCCTGTGGTCCCGAATTCGATCCAGGCGCCGGCGAGAAACAATGGGCAGAGTTTCACCCTATGCCCCTGTTACCTAGCAGTAAAATAGGTATCTGGGTGTTAGTCAGCTGTCACGGGCTGCTTCCTGGGGGTGAAGGCCTGGTCGAGGACCGGGCCGCGGGGACACTAAAGCCCCGAAAATCATCTCAAGATAACCTCAAGTACTGTCAATTCGGAGAATGGGTTGCGTGGCCACAACTTTTTTTTCTTGTGTTGGTTATGTCTCGTTATTGTGCTCCCCTCTCCCCCCCCCCCCCGTCTCTCCTTCCCCGCTCCCCCTCTCTCCCTCCCCCTTCCCTTCCTCCCTCTCCCCCTTCCCACACACACATGTACACGAACTAGCTCTCCTCTTCCACCCACACATGGTGTCAGCAAGGCGGACAGCCCGCCTGCTTTCATGCCTCTCACTGTATTTCCCACTTCTAAACTTCCCTTCACCTATGCCTCTACTTCTGTACTCCCCCCCCCCTCCTCCCCCCCAATAAAAAAGCTCTCCTCTTTTGACTTGGTGTTTGAAGGTCACGGAGACACGCAATGGGTTCAGGAACGATTCCAAAATTCGTTTATGTAAGCAAGTTACAGCACGGACGAGCAAGTTAGGTAATTTGTTAACAGAAATTAATAAACCGTATCTTAGCAATATGAAACTAATCTTTTAAGGTGGTGGAGCCCAGGCACCAGAGGCGAGGGCGCGGCCAGCCGGCTGCGGCCAGTAACGAGGCTGAGAAAAATAACGCGGCCTAGAGGTATTTATAGTATTAATTCGTGTTGTCGGGGTCATGAAACCTGTTATCGAGGTCCCCCTCGGCCAGCCACTGACCACGATGCAACACATAAAAAGTTTCTCAATTCCCGGGAACCTTAACGAGGAGGCAAGTGAGGGGCTGGTGAGCGGAACCTGCCTCACTCACCGTGTCTCTCAGGCCCTGTCATATAACCTGCCTCTCTCCAGCGTCAGCCTAGGATAACATACTGCACCAATGGGTCTACTGGCAGCCAATTACCGAGGTGGGACCCAAGAGCTGTGACTCGCTTCCTCATACACAAGTATATAAGTGGCACACACATCCACACTTAATAAGGTAAGTATTATCATACACACCATACAAACACCGAGGCACTGAACGGTACGACACAGTTCCAGCTGAGGTCATTGTGCTAATACCATTTTTGTTTTTGTTTCAGCTGCCGATGAAATGATGAGGCGGAAGCAGCGCCCCTAGTGAGGAGGCATCGTCTGGCCACAAGGTCGGTCTTCACCCTCCGTTATGTTCACTTTCTCCCCCCTCCCCCCACACCCCACCCCTCCCATACTCCCCTCCCCTCAACCCCATCAAGCAGGTCCCCCTCCTCCTTACCCCCACCCCCTCCCCGCCACACCACTACCACAGTGCCAGTAGTTTGTGGTATACTCGGCTACACTTCACTACCTAACTTCAGTAATCATTGTTAGGTGGGGCACCTACCCTCAGTCATCATGGCTCGTTCTTCTTTGGTCTTGACCTCCAGGGGGGTCTTGACCTCCAGGAGGTCTTGATCTCCAGGGGGGTCTTGACCTCCAGGGGGGTCTTGACCTCCAGGAGGTCTTGATCTCCAGGGGGGTCTTGACCTCCAGGAGGTCTTGGCCTCCAGGGGGTCTTGATCTTCAGGGGTCTTGACTTCCAGGAAGTCTTGATCTCCAGGGAGTCTTGATCTCCAGGGGGGTCTTGATCTCCAGGGGGTCTTGATCTCCAGGTCTTGATCTCCAGGGGGTCTTGATCTCCAGGGGGTCTTGATCTCCAGGGGTTTTGACCTCCAGGGGATTTTGATCTCCAGGGGGTCTTGATTTCCAGGGGGGGGGGTCCTTGATCTCCAGGGCGGTCTTGATCTCCAGGGGGTCTTGATCTCTAGGGGAGTCTTGATCTCCAGGGGGTCTTGATCTCCAGGGAAGTCTTGATCTCCAGGGGGGTCTTGATCTCCAGTGGGGTCTTGATCTCCAGGGGTCTTGATCTCCAGGGGGGTCTTGATCTCCAGGGAAGTCTTGATCTCCAGGGGGGTTTTGATCTCCAGGGGGTCTTAATCTCCAGGGGGTCTTGATCTCCAGGGGGGTCTTAATCTCCAGGGGGGTCTTGATCTCCAGGGGGGTCGTGATCTCCAGGGAAGTCTTGATCTCCAGGGGAGTCTTGATCTCCAGGGGAGTCTTGATCTCCAGGGGGTCTTGATCTCCAGGGGGGTCTTGATCTCCAGGAGAGTCTTGATCTCCAGGGCGTCTTGATCTCCAGGGGAGTCTTGATCTCCAGGGGGGTCTTGATCTCCAGGGGAGTCTTGATCTCCAGGGGGGTCTTGATCTCCAGGGGGGTCTTGATCTCCATTGGGGTCTTGATCTCCAGGGAAGTCTTGATCTCCCGGGAAGTCTTGGTCTCCAGGGAAGTCTTGATCTCCAGGGGGGTCTTGATCTCCAGGGGGTCTTGATCATCAGGGGGTCTTGATCTCCAGGGGGGTTTTGATCTCCAGGGGGTCTTGACCTCCAGGGGGGTCTTGACCTCCAGGAGGTCTTCCAGGGGGGTCTTGACCTCCAGGAGGTCTTGTTCTCCAGGGGGGTCTTGACTTCCAGGAGGTCTTGTTCTCCAGGGGGGTCTTGACCTCCAGGAGGTCTTGTTCTCCAGGGGGGTCTTGACCTCCAGGAGGTCTTGATCTCCAGGAGGTCTTGACTTCCAGGAGGTCTTGATCTCCAGAGGGGGGTCTTGATCTCCAGCGGGGGGTCTTGTTCTCCAGGAGGTCTTGATCTCCAGGTTGTCTTGGCCTCCAGGGGGTATTGATCTTCAGGGGTCTTGACTTCCAGGAAGTCTTGATCTCCTGGGAGTCTTGATCTCCAGGGGGGTCTTGATCTCCAGGGGGTCTTGATCTCCAGGGGTTTTGACCTCCAGGGGATTTTGATCTCCAGGGGAGTCTTGATTTTTAGGGGTCTTGATCTCCAGGGGGTCTTGATTTCCAGGGGGGGTCCTTGATCTCCAGGGGGGTCTTGATCTTCAGGGCGGTCTTGATCTCCAGGGGGTCTTGATCTCTAGGGGAGTCTTGATCTCCATGGGGGGTCTTGATCTCCAGGGAAGTCTTGATCTCCAGGGTGGGTCTTGATCTCCAGTGGGGTCTTGATCTCCAGGGGAGTCTTGATCTCCAGGGGGGTCTTGATCTCCAGGGAAGTCTTGATCTACAGGGGGGTCTTGATCTCCAGGGGGGGGTCTTGATCGCCAGGGGGGTATTGATCTCCAGGGGGTCTTGATCTCCAGGGGAGTCTTGATCTCCAGGGGGGTCTTGATCTCCAGGGAAGTCTTGATCTCCAGGGGAGTCTTGATCTCCAGGGTGGGTCTTGATCTCCAGGGGGTCTTGATCTCCAGGGGGGTCTTGATCTCCAGGGAAGTCTTGATCTCCAGGGGGGTCTTGATCTCCAGGAGAGTCTTGATCTCCAGGGGGGTCTTGATCTCCAGGGAAGTCTTGATTTCCAGGGGGGTTTGATCTCCAGGGGAGTCTTGATCTCCAGGGGGGTCTTGATCTCCAGGGAAGTCTTGATCTCCCGGGAAGTCTTGGTCTCCAGGGAAGTCTTGGTCTCCAGGGGGGTCTTGATCTCCAGGGGATCTTGATCTCCAGGGGGGTCTTGATCATCAGGGGGTCTGATCTCCAGGGGGGTTTTGATCTCCAGGGGGTCTTGATCTCCAGGGTGTTCTTGATCTCCTGGGTTGGTCTTGATCTCCAGGGGGTCTTGATCTCCAGGGGGGTCTTGATCTCTAGGGGGTTCTTGATCTCCAGGGGGGTCTTGATCTCCAGGGGGTTCTTGATCTCCAGGGGGGGGGGTCTTGATCTCCAGGGGTCTTGATCTCCAGGGGGTCTTGATATCCAGGGGGTCTTGATCTCCAGGGGAGTCTGATGTCCAGGGGGGGTCTTGGTCTTCAGGGGTCTTGATCTCAGGGGGGTCTTGATCTCCAGGGGAGTCTTGATCTCCAGGGGGGGTCTTGATCTCCAGGGGGTCTTGATATCCAGGGGGGTCTTGATCTCCAGGGGGGTCTTGATCTCTAGGGGGTCTTGATCTCCAGGGGGTCTTGATCTCCAGGGGGTTCTTGATCTCCAGGGGGGTCTTGATCTCCAGGGGGTTCTTGATCTCCATGGGGGGTCTTAATCTCCAGGGGGGTCTTGATCTCCAGGGGGTCTTGATATCCAGGGGGTCTTGATCTCCAGGGGAGTCTTGATGTCCAGGGGGGTCTTGGTCTTCAGGGGTCTTGATCTCCAGGGGGGTCTTGATCTCCAGGGGGGTCTTGATCTCCAGGGGAGTCTTGATCTCCAGGGGGGTCTTGATCTCCAGGGGAGTCTTGATCTCCAGGGGGGTCTTGATCTCCAGGGGGGTCTTGATCTCCAGGGGAGTCTTGATCTCCAGGGGAGTCTTGATCTCCAGGGGGGGTCTTGATCTCCAGGGGGGTCTTGATCTCCAGGGGGTCTTGATCTCCAGGGGAGTCTTGATGTCCAGGGGGGTCTTGATCTCCAGGGGTCTTGATCTCCAGGGGGGTCTTGATCTCCAGGGGCCTTGATTTAATCGTTCAATCGCTTGGGCTGGTGGGTAGAACCATGGCCTGACTTGTTGCAGGGTCGGCGTTCGGTGCCCGAGGGTCCAAGTGGGTGGGCCTGGTTACCTTCCATGCCGTCAAAACGGTGCTTCACCGATCCATCACTCCAGGGTGATGGATCGGTGCCCGGGCCATCACTCCGTCCTCTTATCCCAGCGCCTTGTCCTCTTATCCCAGCTCCTTGTCCTCTTATCCCAGCTCCTTATCCTCTTATCCCAGCACCTTGTCCTCTTATCCCAGCTCCTTGTCCTCATATCCCATCTCCTTGTACTCATATCCCAGCTCCTCGTCCTCATATCCCAGCTCCTTGTCCTCATATCCCAGCTCCTTGTCCTCTTATCCCAGCACCTTGTCCTCTTATCCCAGCTCCTTGTCCTCATATCCCATCTCCTTGTACTCATATCCCAGCTCCTTGTCCTCATATCCCAGCTCCTTGTCCTCAGATCCCAGCTCTTTGTCCTCATATCCCAGCGCCATGTCCTCATATCCCAGCGCCATGTCCTCATATCCCAGCTCCTTGTCCTCATATCCCAGCTCCTTGTCCTCTTATCCCAACGCCTTGTCCTCATATCCCAGCTCCTTGTCCTCATATCCCAGCTCCTTGTCCTCTTATCCCAACGCCTTGTCCTCAAATCCCAGCTCCTTGTCCTCATATCCCAGCTCCTTGTCCTGATATCCCAGCTCCTTGTCTTTATATCCCAGCTCTTTGTCTTTATATCCCAGCTCCTTGTCCTCATATTCCATCCAAGTGCTGTGCGCTCGTTCTGGTTTGGGTCAGTCTCCAGGTGTTGGAGACTGACCAACCTTGGAGAGGACCAACCTTGCTGTTGTGGAGCTCTTGTCTCAAGTCGGCAGTGTCACAGGGTGATCTTGGCATGTAGCTTAAATCTCATAGTGACTGCTTGCAGGTGGCATGCAATGTTCGTTGCAGGAGGCAGCAACACCTCCATAGACAGTGGAAGGGATTACCTGGTTACCTGGTTGATGGGGTTCTGGGAGTTCTACTCCCCAAGCCCGGCCCGAGGCCAGGCTTGACTTGTGAGAGTTTGGTCCACCAGGCTGTTGCTTGGAGCGGCCCGCAGGCCCACATACCCACCACAGCCCGGTTGGTCCGGCACTCCTTGGAGGAATATATCTAGATTCATGCACGAGTGTGGTGGTTCGCTTGCTCCTGGTTGTTGAGAATGGAATACTGTTGTGAGCAGGAGGGTACTGGGTGAGGAGACCGCCCTCATCCATTTTATTAGAAAATTGTTTGTTACAGACGTGGCCATTCGTTTAGGCTTCTGTGCTGACCAACACATTTTCACGTGTGTTCCATTGACATATCCTATTGTAACATATCCTGTTGTAATCCTGTTGTAACATATCCACATATCCTGTTCCATTACATTCAGTGCAGTTGGTTACTAAGCTCTTGACTACATGTTTCACTCAAACTTGAATTTTACGATAAAATAAGATAAAAATGCAAAAATGATTGCTAGAATCACAGCATAAAAATGCCTGTGAGTCTAGCAGCCCTTATCCTTTTGTATTGGTAGTGCTTATAGTAACGATGAGGACCATAGTATATATACCGACGTACAACGAAATTAGAAAGTAGAAATCTGCACTATTGAGTTGGACAAACCGGAAAACTATTTTTTATTTGTGTTGCTTTGACAAACTAACCTAACCTCCCTAGGCCTAATAAACGATATATGAGGCCTAATAGCACATATATAGTACATATATGTGCTATACTAGCCCTAGGAATATTTGTGTTTTGGCTTCATTTATTTTAAAAGAATTCTTTACTAGTCAGTATACTACTATCTAAAAACTATTTCGTGCGAATTCTGACTATCGACGATCGTCACAATAGGAGCTATCAACACTGGAGTTTCTTAACTCCCGGGCACCTACCTAGTTACTGCTAGGTGAACAGAGGTATCAAGTAAAATGAAAAGCTGCCCAAACGCTGCTGTCCTATGCGTGTGAGCAGGCTATAATGACCACCTGGAAGACCTTACTCAACCGGAAAACTTATTTAAAGAAACCTTTCCTTCCCTTCCCTTCCCTTCCCTTTCCTTCCTTCCTTCCTTCCTTCCTTCCTTCCTTCCTTCCTTCCTTCCTTCCTTCCTTCCTTCCTTCCTTCCTTTCCTTTCCTTTCCTTTCCTTTCCTTTGCTTGCTCTCGTCCTCTAGGAAGGAGGAGAGCAGTAACTGGGGTGAGTGTCGAGGCCCCTCCTGAGCCACCTTCCTCGTCTCTACCAGCTAAAATAAGAGACTGTACTCCACCCTGACAGGCGAGTGCCAAGGGCAGGCGGCACAGCCCTGGCACTCGCCGAATCACTGCCAGCCTTGGCAGTGGCAACCACCACTCACTTATTGAACTTTACACACACACACACAAACGCACACTCATACGCACGCACGCATTAGGGGCCTGGTAGTCTGGTAGATAGCGCGCAGAACTCGTAATTCTGTGGCGCGGGTTCGATTCCCGCACCAGGCAGAAACAAATGGGCAAAGTTTCTTTCACCCTGAATGCCCCTGTTACCTAGCAGTAAATAGGTACCTGGGAGTTAGTCAGCTGTCACGGGCTGCTTCCTGGGGTGTGTGTGTGTGGAGTGGAGAAAAATAAAAAAATGTAGTTAGTAAACAGTTGATTGACAGTTGAGAGCCGGGCCGAAAGAGCAAAGCTCAACCCCCGCAAACAATACTAGATGAATACACACACACACACGAGCCACAGAAACATTAGAAAGAACTTTTTCAGTGTCAGAGTAATTAGTAAATGGAATGCATTAGGAAGTGATGTGGTGGAGGCTGACTCCATACACAGTTTCAAATGTAGATATGATAGAGCCCAGTAGGCTCAGGAACCTGTACATCAGTTGATTGACTGATGTACAGTCAACCTGTCGCACATCCGTAGCAGGTCATTTGCATGTGTCTGTTCATTTAGGCTACTTCCTGGTATTCTCTCTGATATAACTGTATTAGCCAGGTTCTTGTATTTCAGGACCCGTAGGTTGAAGTCCCCAAGCAGGATGATGTTTGGGGCTGGATTTGTGAGGTTTTCCAAGCAGTGTTGTATTTTCATTAGTTGGTCTTTAAACTGCTGAGGGTTTGCCTCCGGTGACTTATATACAAGGACAATAACTACATTTAGGATCTCTATTTTGATTATCAGCACTTCCACCATATCATTTGTGGTGTTTAGCAGCTCAGTACAGATGAGTGTGTCTTTGATGTAGAGGCTGACCCCACCCTGAAGCCGGTGTTTCCTGTCACATCTGAAAAGATTGTACTCTGAGATCCATATTTCACCATCATGGTAGTTGCTGTTGTTGTTTAAGATTCGCTACCTGGAACAAAAAGTTCCAAGTAGCACGGGCTATGGTGAGCCCGTAGTGCCTTTTCATGGTAGTCCTTTGTGTGAGTTTCCGTTAGGACTGCAAACACTGCATTTGCCTCATGAAGGAGTCCAGCTATAAAATGAACTTTGTTGGATTTGCGTGTTTTTATACCCTGAATGTTGGCAAATAAAACTGCTGTTATGTTTGTGGAAGTGTTGGATGGTTTACTTGGTGTTAATATCTGAGGCTCTGGTAAGGTGGCCACTGTGTTTGTGTCCTCTACAGCACTTGACCGAGTTGACGGTAGAGTCTCGTCATTTTTAGACATTCTTAGCTAGGTGTGGACAACACCCCAGCTGGTGCAGGTGTGGACAACACCACCCTAGCTGGTGCAGGTGTGGACAACACCACCCCAGCTGGTGCAGGTGTGGACGATCACCACCCCAGCTGGTGCAGGTGTGGACGATCACCACCCCAGCTGGTGCAGGTGTGGATGATCACGACCCCAGCTGGTGCAGGTGTGGACGATCACCACCCCAGCTGGTGCAGGTGTGGACGATCACGACCCCAGCTGGTGCAGGTGTGGACGATCACCACCCCAGCTGGTGCAGGTGTAAATTACTGAACTACAGACCTGCATCGCTAAAAAGCACTTGCCCAACCACTTATAGAACTTGTTACTGAACAGTTGACGAGCTTCGAAGAACTACAGGGTTGTTCATAACACTAATATACTTCGGAAGAAGCTTCGGAACTTCACAACCTTGGGTTGTGAAGTTCCGAAGCTCATAAACTGTTAATATTTGTAAAAAAAAAAAACATATATTTTTTTAAGATGTTCAGGTTTCGTAAGTTGATGCGTAAAGGGTTGGTAAATCTTGGCTCTTATCGGGGTAAATCTCTGTTCATCAATTAAAGGTGCTTAATTTAAACGGAAATCACGAGCACAGCTTTAGCGCTGATAAAGCTGTGCTTTACACAGTGATTACAATTCTTCAACATGAGGAGAGAAAGAAAACGAAAGATATGGTCGAAATACTGAATATTCCTGGATTGTCAAAAGAAGGCAAACACGCACACGCATGTACACGCACACGCATAAATGTGCGTGCACGTGTGTGTGCACACGTGCACAGTGAGAGAGAGAGAGAGAGAGAGAGAGAGAGAGAGAGAGAGAGAGAGAGAGAGAGAGAGAGAGAGAGAGAGAGAGAGAGAGAGAGAGAGAGAGAGAGAGAGACTGAGAGAGAGAGGGGGGGGCGGGAAGCTCCCCACTTGAAGAAACACGCAGTTGAGAAACGTTGACTAAGACGGGCCCCGGAAGGGAGAGGACTAAGACGGGCCCCGGAAGGGAGAGGACTAAGACGGGCCCCGGAAGGGAGAGGACTAAGACGGGCCCCGGAAGGGAGAGGACTAAGACGGGCCCCGGAAGGGAGAGGACTAAGACGGGCCCCGGAAGGGAGAGGACTAAGACGGGCCCGGAAGGGAGAGGACTAAGACGGGCCCCGGAAGGGAGAGGACTAAGACGAGCCCCGGAAGGGAGAGGACTAAGACGGGCCCCGGAAGGGAGAGGACTAAGACGGGCCCCGGAAGGGAGAGGACTAAGACGGGCCCCGGAAGGGAGAGGACTAAGACGGGCCCCGGAAGGGAGAGGACTAAGACGGGCCCCGGAAGGGAGAGGACGACGGGCCCCGGAAGGGAGAGGACTAAGACGGGCCCCGGAAGGGAGACGGGCCCGGAAGGGAGAGGACTAAGACGGGCCCCGGAAGGGAGAGGACTAAGACGGGCCCCGGAAGGGAGAGGACTAAGACGGGCCCCGGAAGGGAGAGGACTAAGACGGGCCCCGGAAGGGAGAGGACTAAGACGGGCCCCGGAAGGGAGAGGACTAAGACGGGCCCCGGAAGGGAGAGGACTAAGACGGGCCCCGGAAGAGAGAGGACTAAGACGGGCCCCGGAAGGGAGAGGACTAAGACGGGCCCCGGAAGGGAGAGGACTAAGACGGGCCCCGGAAGGGAGAGGACTAAGACGGGCCCCGGAAGGGAGAGGACTAAGACGGGCCCCGGAAGGGAGAGGACTAAGACGGGCCCCGGAAGGGAGAGGACTAAGACGGGCCCCGGAAGGGAGAGGACTAAGACGGGCCCCGGAAGGGAGAGGACTAAGACGGGCCCCGGAAGGGAGAGGACTAAGACGGGCCCCGGAAGGGAGAGCAGTACTCTACAATAACAAGCGGTGAGAGCTGGACCTCACTACCGCCGCTAGAGGACACCAGCAGCACAGTATTATAGCGAATAAATATTCTCGGGGGACCCGATAAAGTGGACATTGAAGCAGAGTTCAAAACGGGTAATAATTGGCTGAGGAAACAGTGATCGAAGCTGGAAACGCTCATGAGCCAGAAACGTCAGGAAGTTTCCTTATAGCGCTAGAATGAAAATAAAGGGACTTGCAAGAATGACGTTGTTGAAGCAACATTTAAACACAGTTTTCAGAGCAAATATGATATAAATATGATATAAAACAAAAGTATCACTGAGG